GTGGGTCTGTCTGTCCCCTCTGCAGAGAGTGATGTCTACTTTCTGGGGTCAGCCTTACCCTGCTCTTCAGCAACCCCTGTAAGGCAGGGAACTCTGTCTTCAAATATGGATGTGGGCTCCTTTCACTTTAGATTCTCTAAATTTGTTAATCATAATTTAAGAGACCTACACACATAATGTGTGTGTCTTTAGCTCTCAGTGGTGGGGAGGAAATGGTGATTCTGTCGAAGTGTTGGGAGTGCCACCTTACCTGTGTTCTGTTTGTAAAGTATCAGAGGTTACTTTCCAAGATATATTTTTTGCCTTTCCAAATTCTGCTCATTCACTGAGGTCAAATCATACCCAGTGTTAAAACTGTCTCTGAAATAGCCTTGGGCTTATAATCAGTAACACATGATTTCGTTATTCTCTTTGCAGCTCTGGTGAAAGCTTCTTCAGAATAGGAAAAATGTTGCATACTTTTGATCTCTCTTATGCCTTTTACATCATAATATGATTTAATACATTGACTTAATATGACTTAATACATTGATAATATGATTTAATATGACTTAATACGTTGACGTGTGATAATCAAGCAGTGGGACCAGGTTCTCCTGGAATCAGCCTTATTATTTTATAGTCTTGGTCTATGGAATTTATTGACCTATCTTTCAGGTTACACATACCATACCTTGATGGTGCTGGGTTTCACTTGTGGTGAGCACCAAATACTTTGAAACCTGTAAAGTCACAGATGCTGAAATTTCACCACAAGCCATCAGAATCAAAATCTCCAGGGAGCAAGGCCTGAGTATCTATACTTTTTAAAAGCTTCCTAAGTGAGTCTAGTGTACAACTGTGATCGAGAAATTCTGCCTCATGAAGACCACTCTTTTATGGAACTGTGCCGACAGAGGTTTGCCAAGTACAGGTGTCACTCACAGACCCAACCAACAAAGGGAAACACAAACATCATTATGGTAGGATGGTATTAGGGTTGTGCCTGGGTACCCATGAGCAGGTTACATACGAGAGGAGGATAGCCTGGGGTTAATATAACATTTGGTACAGGGATTCCTCATTGAAAACATTTTTTTTTAAACCCTCCAACATAATAACCTTGGGGAGTGAGGACCAGAAGAGAGAGTAAAGGCTTATCAGAGAAGTGGAGAGACAATGAACGGAGCTAGAATTATGGGTAAATGGCCATCTACAGAGTGATTTTTAAGGGCCTATTGACTTAAAATTCCATCATGAAAAACTCATTCCTTTGGTTTAAAATTTTGTCTCTTGTTACTCTTCAAAAGCCTGTGAATGGCATCTGACTGGATTCATCATATCCTTACCTGAGAATACATTGTGATGGGATATGGAGAAAGATCCAGAAAAAAAGTGGGTGGAAGACTGAGGAGCTGTTGCCAAGTGAGGAAACACACTAAGCAGGGCATCTTGCAGACAGTGGCAGCTGGACAAATATTGACAATTTGATTTGCTATCAATTCAAAGAAAACCGCCTGAAACGAAGACAGACTATTAAATGTTCTATATTTCCCTCTAACTGCCCTGCTGAGGTGAGGAGCTTCTTGGCTCTCCCTGGCCCATACTGCTAGCTCCTGAACTGAGAAGAAAGCAAAGGGAGAGCAGCCTCATCTCCCCGGGGAGGTGGCCTCGTGGTCTAGGCTGGCCCGAGAGTGAGGGCTCTGAGCTCCAGCCCAAGGATTTTCCTCTGACTCGCTGTGTGGCCTCCAGCCAGTCTCCAAGCAGCTTTGGTTTCCTTGTATGTCAAACCAAGATAAATACCTAACTTCCCACCTCTCTGGGGCATTGTAAGACCGGCTGCCACTTTCATTACCATTTGTCTAACGACCATAAGAAAAGAGCTTGTAGAGAAGTTTTCAGACTCATTGTTCTTACTATTAGTGTTATCGATCTGCTACTGGAGCTTGCAGAGCAGAGCTCTGGGTAGAAAGAAGAATGTTTGGGGAGGGCAGGAAAATGGAGGACACAACAGCCCTCCAAAAAGTGGTGTTTGTAGTGGAAGAGAAACACAAAAGGGGGTTGGGGTGCAGGGGAGAGAATTCTACAATTGGTACCAGATGCCATCAGAAGCTAATAACCTGACAAACGCCGTCTTCATAAAGCAAATTCCTTAAAAAAGGAAGCAAATGGAAATGTAAGCTAGTGAAAGAATTTGCAGCAGCTGCCCTAAAACCATTTCTCACTTCATAAACAGGTCTGGGTTTGGTGCCTATTTTTTTTTTTTTCTTTTGCCTTGGTCTTCTTTCATGCCACATCCCCCCTCTAACACACTCTCCTGTCTCACTCTTCCTCCTCTGCCGCCAATGTCGGAAGGGCTTCTTATACCGGTCGTCATAGCAACAGCAGTTAATGGAACCCCATCTTGATGGAGGGAGGCTCCTGTAGAGTGTTTGTTCTGTGTCTTATCTCAGCATGTATTTGTCCTCAATGATGACATGGATTAATTAATTGGATGGAGTCACCAGAAAACAGCACATGCTATTTCACATTAATTTCTTGGCAACAAGCTGACACGAATGAGAACTTGTTAATGACTCTGTCTTCTAGTACTATCTGCATACCACGCTGAAGAAATATGACTTTTTGCGGACATGAAGGAAGGCAGCATCTTGGAAACTTGGAGTTCTTTAGGCATCACTAATGAGGTGTACTGATCTCATCCCATGAAGGATGGTTTGGTTTTGGGCCCCTTATCCAGAAAGGCTCAGTAAAGACTCAGGACAAAGATTCATTTCCTATATTACATACCCAGTTATCAACATTGGATTTGGGGAGTTTGAATTAACAATTAATAACCCCTACCCCCAATTCATATATTCCTCCCTCCACCAGTCTCCATAGAGTGAATTGGAAGCATTCCTCACCATTGAAGGGAATAATCAGAAGTCAAAAGAGTAAAAAAAGCTTTTTTCAAACTACTCAACTCCAACACCTCTATCCTATAGCTGATAAGCACAGAATGAGAATGTCACTGACATATGACTTAAATGACTTAAATCCTATGGGTACAAGATAAGAAGCAGCAACTTTAGCATATTCCGATCAAATCCATCCTTTTTAGATGAGTACTTTTAAAATCATATCAATTATGTCAAGGTGATATGTGCATATTCAATGACATTTTATTTTTCACTTTCTTATATTGTTGCCCAGCTTTTTAATAAAGTTGTTGACCGCTAACACAATTCTAGGACAAATAGGGCAAATTATGATGATGAGCCTCACAGTAGCCATTTTGGCTAATAATTACCACCACTGGCTACAGCATCATGAGCAAGTAAATATATAAGAAAATATCTCATTGGTTTCCCCCGCAAGATTATGATGGGGCATGATACTTATCATACCCCCAGTACTCAAACCAATACCTTGCCAACAATAAGTGCTCAGTAGATGTTCATTAGTGAATGAATGAGTAGGGCAAGGCGGCTGAATTACTGTTGGATGATAATATTTTTGTGTTTCAGATTCCCATCTGTCGCTTTAGAATTAACAAATTACCCATCTTAATACCCGTTGACTTACTTTGCTATATGAGCAAGTTTAATTCAAACTTTTCTTGTGTTTACTACAGCAAGGTTTATGGTGAATGTAAAAGTGGGCAAGAGTCTGTAATTGTCTTCAAGAGGTTCATAATGTAGTTGGGAGTTTCAGCACTTTGGACATACTCAGATACTAATCACCTTGTAGATCAAAGGATGAATAAATGAAAGAGCAAGCAGATGCACACGACTATAATATAGGATAGAATAACAGAAGCATTAGAAGGAAATTGTTTTTAAAAATTTCCCTGGGAGGTTCCAAGGAGGAAGATATCTGGAGGGGCTTCTTGGAGAAGAAAGGCATTTTAGAAATCTCAACAAATTGAACATAGGTATAGAAATGGGAAAACCAAAAAGTATGGATGGTAAACAGAAAACAAGCCCCTGAGGGTGGGACTTTGGCCATTTGCAGTGGAGCAGTAGAGGGAATTAGCCCAGAATAATAATAACCCTGTGGGATATGTACCACTATTATCCTCTTCTTATGGGGGAAGGAGCTGAAACACTGGGGAATGAATAACTCAGCCATAGCACGCAGGTAGTAAATGGTGGATCCAGGATTCAAAGTCAGACAGCATGTGGTCAGTGCCCTAATTTTTCATCTCTATGGTTCTGCCTTGGGAAGAGGGTAATGCTTTTTTTTGCTCTATTGCATCTTTGTTGCTGTTGTGGTCTAGACCTGAACCTGGAGAGTTTAACTCTCTTTCTCCCACTCCTGGCTGATGGACCCTAGAGGTCCAGGCAGTGGTCCTCCTCTGCTGGGATGATGTCCTGGAAGCACGTAGCTCAACATCAGGCAAGTGGCAGGGATTTAGTATGTGTGAGTTTCCTCTTCCTGTCGTGGGGTCAATTTCTGATTAGCCCATGCTGATTTTCATTGGTGGGGAGTGCCATGGCTCCAGTTGTCAAAAATATCTCATAGCAACCAGTAAATAAATGTTACCTTTTCTGCCATCTCAGATACCCAAACCCTTCATCCAGGGCCCTCTGGGATCAAACAACTAAAAAAAGTTCAGTGCCTGACACAACCAGGGGCCCCAAGAATTCACTCCTGACCTGGGTCTACTCTGATTGTTTGGGACCCAGAAATACTGGTTGTTAAACATTTTGAGGATTGCTTTCTGATCCAGCCATTTCTGATGCCATCCAGAGCTCTTGGAACACATTCCTCACCTTTTTCTGTCACCATTTTGTCCTCCTAAAAAAGTCATGGAAAGTCAATTAGTCATTCACTTTTTGTTAGCTGATATTGTTCTTATTTATTTCATGTCGCACGGTTCCAGGTCCTATAGAAGGAGGTGATGAGCTCAATGTAGGTTTTGGAGAAAAATCATTCTCTTTGGCTTAGAGGCACTTTCCAGAGGAAGTTGCCAAGTCTTTGCTGCTGCCTGCTTGTCTGGAGTCAGTCTAAGATGTTTTTGTTTCTGTCACCCCCAGCTGTGTCCATCGGCCCTGTGGGGAGCAGGGCAGCTGTGCGCCATTGCTGCTTGATCACACGGAGATGGTGAACTGTACCTCTGGTGGCCCAGGTCACATGAAGTGTGCGATTACCTGTCAAAGGGGGTTTGCCTTTCAGGGCAGCAGTGGGAAATACCTCAGGCCGGTGCAGGTGAGTTGGAAACCTGTGGTCATCAAGACCAAGCTCCTGGGGAGGGAAGGTACTTATGCTCTTCTCCCTCGCTGAGTGGGGAAAGGGCAGATTTTTAAATCACTTGGAAGGAAAGATGGGGCCTCTAACAAGCAAGGAGAGCACAGCTTCACAGAAAGGTGCAGTTCCCATTAACTAGGCTGTCAGTTTCTCTCATGCAGACAGCAGGTAGGGACGCTTATCCCGTTCTCTTTCTCCTTTCGCTGTCGGAAATGACAGTCCTGCTTTTGCCTTCAAGATGCGTACTCCACAGTTTAGACTTGCCCACAATTTGTAAGCAAGATAGGTTGTAATCAGCTTGTGTGTGGCTCACGATTTGACCCCCAGCCCTCCTAAGAAGGCTGGAGAAAGAGTCTGATTAGAGTAACAAACTTCTGCTGAAGTGGGGATTATAATGTGACTCTAGCTGTGGCCTAATTTTCCGCATTTCTCCAAACTACCATAGCACCATTTCCAGCATTTGGAGGTAGTAGAATATATTGGTTAAGAGCGTGGCTCAGGTGACAAACACAGAATGAAATTTTGGCTCCATTGTCTATTAGTTGTATAATTTTAGGTAAAAACAAAGAAAAGAAACTAATCTCTTTAAGTGTTCTTCCATATTTGTGAAATAATGAGGACAGACGTATTTATGTTATTGAGTCACAATGATGACTATTGGGAAATAACTGAAAAGTTTCCAGCTAAATGACAGACATGTAGCTCTCTGTTCAGCTTCCATTACTATGAGCATGATAATGTATTCTCAACTAAGAATTCTGTTTTCCATCCTTCCTTTGGAGAACTTTCAATACTCCACAGAGGAACTTTAAACTTGAAATCAGCCATTTGAAAACATGACCATCATATAAGACAGAGAAAGGATACATTAGGGAAAACATAATGGTGCTTGAGGAAAGAACAAGAAAGATGTGGTATGATGAGGAAAGAATGGATGCATGACTGATAGGCCGGTATCAGTGGTGCAGAAGATTGGAATCATTTGCATTTTGTACCAGTTGAAGACTTAGCAGGTAGTAGATCCTTAGAGGAATTTCACTTGCTTGGAGATGGTCTGAACTCGAATGTACAGTTGTTGGTTTCAGGTGGTTTAGGTTCTGCACAGAAATAAACAGTTTTGATAGTCCTGGAGACACCAACTCATTAGTCTATGGTGCTTTGGTCAGAAAGGCAGCGTTCTTGTCCCCTGTTCTTCACCAAGCTTAACTCGCACTACAGAAGAGAAAGAAAGAATGACCAAAAAAATAGGGACCGAATACATTTGTGTGACAGGTAAGGAGAGGGAGAGAAGAAAAGGGAGTGTTTGCAATGCGTTACAATTAGGAGCACAGTTAAGACAAGATGGATAACACTTAATGGAGCCAGGAGAAAAGCCAGGCAATATATGCGGAGTTTGAGACAGATTCTGTAAGCGATCACTGTGGTTCGAGCCAGGCTTGCACTGTGGTAAGCGTGGGGGCAGTCTGGGTGGGGAAGAGGAAGGTAGGAGGAGCTCACGTCTCCCAGCCATATGGTGGAGTCAGCCAACACGCCCTCCAGCTGACTTTGCTCTTGTCACCTGAGGCCAGCGAGTGCTGGGTGTATAATTTCCCCAAGGAAATGATACAATCCCAGCTCGTGATCACAAGACAGTGGGGATATTTGCTTTTTGTTGACATAAGAACTGAAACTAAACAGAAAAATGTGTCTGGCTTTGACTTGGGTCCTTCTGGCAGGCAACAGGGAAACACTGGGAAGAGGGAGGAGCAGCTGGCCAGGAGTGGGTGTCGGGGGTGACAGGTGCTTTCACCAGTCATTTGACCTTGGGTTTCACTGCCACTGTGGTCTCTGGGCAGGAGGGCTGCTGAGCCACAGAATCTCCCCGCACTCTGTTCGACCTGTGGTAACCCATTGGCTGGAGGGATGGCTATGCTCTTTCCCAAACAAGCCATGAGCTTCCAGCTCTCTCAGTCCCAGCTCACTCTGTCCCCCTCACTCCGGACATGTTCTTCTCCCCATGCCCTTGACAACTGGGAGGTCCTGCTTGTCCTTCACAGGCCGGGTCTCGTGTCACCTACTCCAGTAGGTGGAGGGCCAGTTCCTCCAGCACCCATTGTGCCATCTCCCAGAGCAAGCACCTGCCTATGATAGGGCTGGCTCTTTCGACATTTTCATGTTTTCTTTCTTCTTGGTCCCCATTTCGTACTTTTGTTTTATCGTTTCCATTCTTTGTATTATATTCTCGCAAATCATTATAGACAGGAGTAGGCTAGAGTAAATAACAATATATATCTCTTGCATTTTCCTTCCGTATTTCCTTTCCTCCTTTCCTCTCTTTCTCCTTCTTTCCGTTCTTCCACCTTTGGTTTTCAAGCCATTGTTTCAACCTGTGATTTGCTCTGCTGGTAGATGATTAGCTCCTGGAGGATGTCTTGTTTATCCAAATCTAGACAGAACTTGGTCCTTCTAAGTGCTCAATAAATGTCCCTTCATTTATTTAATGTTGAGGAACTCTAGGGCTACCCCACAAAAATGACAGGCTGAGGGAAAGGGCTGGAATCTTTCCAATTTCACTACAAGATTTGGAAGGTGCCTTGTACGTATTGATTCTCAGCTGTTCTTAGATACTGTACACCATTCTCTGTGGAGGTAATTATGTTCAGGACCATTATCATCCAGGCTCCCAGCAGGAAATAGGTGACATGCTCCAACATGGGTAATTTGAGGGAATTTAGTACAGGGACTACTTATGAAGCTGGAGGCAGGATACAGGGAAATTACAAGGAGATGGTGCAGAATCCCAGGGTCAAGGGTGACATCACCCGTAGGTCTGAAGAGTTGATTGTAGGGAGCAGGGGGCAGAAGCCACAGGAAGAGAGTGCAGGAGAGGATAAGGAGGGCTGCCGAAGGACAAAGCCAACCAGCAGTAACATACTAGGGAGGGAATAGGAAGAATAAGTGCCCAGACCTCCCTTGCCCTCCAGGTCCTGTAGTCTCCAGCCAGCGCATCCCAGGTGCTAGGCCCGAGCACAGCCAGAGGCATTAAAACCCACAGGGGCACAGAGCCTGGTGGAGAAGTGCATAGAGTGATCCAAGAGCACATGGGAGGCAGCTGAGAGTTGGCCTGGAGGAGTGTCTCCCGTTCATGGTTCTCTTACACTAACAGGGATGGTCAGCAGCAGCCTACCTGGGTATTGAAGACAGTATATCAAGCCAATAGATCCTAAGGAGGGAGTAAGGCAAAATCGTTTTACTTATTTTGAATGTTTGCACGAATAATCAGCAGGACTCCTACAAAGCCTGGAAACTACATTGATAAGCCTTTTCATGTGAACTTGATGGAAGAAAATTCTCTGTTTCTAGAAGGAAATTCTGCTCACATGTTCCTCTGGGCACTGGGACCGGACTGTGAGCTGCATGCCCCTTGATTGTGGTGTTCCCGACGCATCTTTGGTGAACTACGCAACCTTCTCCTGCTCAGAGGGAACAGACTTTCTGAAACGCTGTTCAATCTCCTGTGTCCCACCGGCCAAGCTTCAAGGTATTGTCAGCCAACTGGGAACCAAGTGCAAGTTCTCTCCAGCCCCTCTCCTCTCATTGTGGGTACTTTAGGGATTTTTTTCTTGACCCCAGTACTCTTTCCATTGGCTCTGCTGTGCCACCCTTTTCTGAGAACACCACCAAAACACCAAAGGGACACACCATTTTTATCCTGATGACATGCAAGGATGCCTGGCTTAGAGCTCATGAATGAAAGACATGTAGACTTCCCTGTTTTTATTTGATTGTACATCCTCTGGAATCAAGGGGACTCACAGTGGCCTGATCATAGGAAAAATATATCAGGCATATATATATTTTTTTTAATTTACTATTTACAACCTTCCTGTGAGTTAGGTGCTTTTAGTTCTCTTTTATAGATGAGAACAGAGTTCTAGGAGTTGTCCCTGGCTGTACTGATAGTAAGAGATAAAGATAGGGTAGAACCTGCTCTGACCCCACACCTTGCTGTTGTCCTCTTCTCAGACTCTAGTGTGAATCTCTTAGTGACCTAGGAGGCTCGTTCCAAATACAACTTCCTGAGCCTAATGTTGATAGAGTCTGACTTAGTAAGTCTGAGGTGATGCAGCTGTGGGAGGTTCCTGGACTTCCTTTGGAATAACTGTGAATTACACTGAAGCATAGTGTAGTGTTTTAGTACAGAACTCTGCATCCCAACTGCCCAAGTTCAAACCCTGCATCTGCCCCCTATTAGCTTGGCCAAGTTGCCTGAACTCAGTTTCCTTATCTGCAAAATAAGAGATAATGTGTTGTTCGAGGTGTATGTGGGTATTGTAAAATGCTTCAAACAGTGCGGGGCATATAAAAAGCACTATAAATATGTCCTCTGTTGTTATTATCATGGTTTGCATGACACGGTCACTACTCTATTTTTATAATTTGTAGTTAGGAAGTGAGGTCATGATTTGTTGGGTAGCCATTCTTTGATTCAGGGAATGAAAGGGAGGTCAGGGAATAGTTATCCGATCTCTGTTCTGTGTAAGAGATCTCAGTGGTTGCTTGGCGGGTAAAAAGAGATGGGACGAGCCCTGGACCTAAGAGTCAGAGAATCTGCTCCGCCAAGAATTATGTGACTTCGTGAGAACGCTGACGGGTTTATAGGGTTTTGGTTTTTTCGGCTACACATTGATTTCTGGACTCGTACTTCTCTTTCCTGGGCTCAGGACTGAACCCGTGGCTGACCTGTCTTGAAGATGGGCTCTGGTCCCTCCCCGAAGCCTACTGCAAGTTGGAGTGTGACGCTCCTCCCATTATCCCAAATGCCAGTGTGCTCCTGCCCCCCTGCCCCCAGCGCAGCCATGACGTGGGCTCCGTGTGTAGATACCGATGCAAGCCGGGCTACTACGCCGTGCCGAGTGCGGACAGCAAAGTCAGGAGGTGAGCTGGCTTGTTCCTGGGTCTCTGTGCTTCTCTCTACCCTCACACTCTCATCTGTAAATCCTCTCCCAGACGGTTGCTTTGGAAATAATATTAAGACCTTCTGGGTGGTCCATTGCTTCTTGTATTGGTTTGTTTTTCAGTATAATCTCTCTTCACCTGCATGGCACATTCCGCAGTCACATAGGCAGGTTGACCAGGTGTGCTTTCTGGAAGGCTATTCCTTCCCATAGGATATCCCACAGCCTCACCTTGGTGATTTCAAAAGAATCTCTGCCCTAATTATCGTTGTCCTTGAAAGTAAGTGTTGAGAGCTTCTCAGGTGTTGTCACCTGAATCCAGCCGTGAGAGGAACATCCTCATTGGGTCGGTTGGGAACTTGCGATGGTGGCTCTGGGAGACACCACCTGCGCTGGTCCCAGTCCAGCCATTTATTACCTGTGTGATGCTGGGATGGTTTCCTTCTCTGCCTTAGTCTTTCTCATCTGTAAAATGAGGATAGTAACAGTAATATCTACCTGACAGGACTTGGTGTAAGGACTAGATATATTAATCAATTAATAAAATATAAGGTCTGATAAATTTATTTATTTATTTATTTTTAAAGATTTTATTTATTTATTTGACAGAGAGATCACAAGTTGGCAGAGAGGCAGGCAGAGAGAGAGAGGAGGAAGCAGGCTCCCTGCTAAGCAGAGAGCCCGATGCGGGGCTCGATTCCAGGACCCTGGGATCATGACCTGAGCTGAAGGCAGAGGCTTTAACCCACTGAGCCACCCAGGCGCCCCTGGTAAATTTAATTTTAACACATAAAATATATGAGCCATTAATATTATTGTAGTCTGTCTGCTTTCTCCCTGCTGGACTTCCTGTGTTCATGCTCCTAGACCCGGAAGCCAGGGGTGCCTTTCTTCTGATCAGAAAGAACAAGAGGAAAGGCTTTGAAGAGAGTCATGCTGGGCTTCAAATCCCAGTTATCTTCCCTTTTTATCAGCTGAGTAACCTCAGGCAAGTTACTTAACTCTTTGGGTCTCAGTCTCCTTTGTAAGTTGAGGATAATACCCACATCAGAGGCTTGAGTGGAAGATGAAATGAGATAATCACATCCAACCCAGAGTCTGCCTTGTGCCAATTGCTCAATATACGGTTTCAGAAAAAGGTTTTTCTGAACAAAAAACAAAAAAAATCTTTCAGAAAAACAAACTCCTCGTACTCAGTAAAATAGTAGCTATTCTTTCCCTATCATAAATTATGTCTGTATAGGACAAAATTCAGTTCATTTCTTACAGGACTTAATTAAAAGTCTGTCCATAGTAGGTTTTTTTGTTTGTTTGTTTTTAAAGATGGTTTTTGTTTTTGTTTTTTGAACTAACAAGATCCCAGCTGTGGCATTACCAATGATGCCAAGACACACCAGCTTTGCTTATAAATTAAAATTCTCTAAGGGGGGGGCGCCTGGGTGGCTCGGTGGGTTGGGCCTCTGCCTTCGGCTCAGGTCCTGATCTGGCTCTCTGCTCAGTGGGGAGCCTGCTTCCTCCTCTCTCTCTGCCTGCCTCTCTGCCTACTTGTGATCTCTATCTGTCAAATAAATAAATAAAATATTAAAAAAAAAATTCTCTAAGGGGACAGAAGAATATCAGGAAACTTGCTCTCTGGCTCTCTGGCTCGCACGTGCCCTTCACCCCACCATCTTACTATGGGGTGGATTGAGTCTGGCTTTGCCCAGCACCTTGCTCTCCAGAGAAAGAGAGGCTTCTATGTGGGAGGGAAGGGAGCAAGTCAGGCGAGAGCCTGGCTGATGAGAATATGAATAATACTGGTGAAAAATTCATAAGAGGCAGCACTCTGGTTCAGTGGACTCTAGCAGATATAGTCAACAGTATTTGACAACCGAAAACACATTTGCATGGGATTTTCGTAGGATCTTGATCAATTTGCATAGGTTCCCATTGACAGGCAATGAGGACCCAGGCCATCTTCAAGCGCTAATGGGATTACAACTCCTCTAAAGCCAGCTGTTTTGGGGCTTCCCCCACCCCTCATTTCTTGCCTTCCTTTACACAGACTTGCAGCTGACTCAGGTGTCTGCAGAACAGGGCAGCAAAGAATAATGGAGGGGGAGAGGAATGTCTCAGGACCAGGAAGAACTGAGGGAGGAGGGATGATTCAGCCCACGGCTGAGCTGTGTGATGGGAACGAGTCTCCCCCCCACACCCAGAACTGTAGACTCTCTGCCTTACCCTGTGCCTCGGACGTGGGCAACTGCCCCAGCCCCGGCAGGGGCACACAGAGGCCATTTGTTGGCACAGCTTTTCCGGTTGAGAAACTGGGAGCTTGCAACAGCGGCATCGGTTTTGGCATAAACATTTACATTCACAGACACTATGCTGAGGAAAGATTAAATTATTTACCACACTGTGTAAACTGATTTAAATCTTAGTTTACACCTGTTTACATAGCAGGCGGCAGATTGGTCATCCGAAGTTTGCAAGTCAGGCGTAAATCACTGTCACTTGCGGCTTCTGTTTACCCAGCGAACTATGTCAGCCTTGTTCCTCGCTTGGTGGGAAGAGCCCAGAGTTATACAAATAGGGCTCTAAATTTCTTTCTAGGACATGCAAGCAGGAGAAGAAGAAATTGAGAAAAGTGGGCAGGGAGATCAATCCAGACGGAACGGGCACATGCTAATTTTATGCAGTTCTTCGAGGAGTGGAAAAAACCCGCTTGAGGGTCAGATTCGTGGCTTGTCTGCATGACTGAACAAACGACTCAATATCCACATGTCTCAATTTTTGCATCCATAATGTGAGGGGTAGGAATTTCTATCCAACAGTGTTATTTTGAGGCTGAAAGGAGGTAAATGTTCTAGAAGCATTTTATCACCTATGATGTTCAATATAAGTACTACGTATTGCTTTTTGTTCATTTCTTTTTATTCATTTACTTTTTTAAGGTTTTAATTATTTATTTGACAGACAGAGATCACAAGTAGGCAGAGAGGCAGGCAGAGAGAGAGGAAGGGAAGCAGGCTCCCTGCTGAGCAGAGAGCCCGATGCGGGACTCTATCCCAGGACCCTGGGATCATGACCTGAGCCGAAGGCAGAGGCTTAACCCACCGAGCCACCCAGGCACCCCTGTTCATTTCTTTTTAAAACAAGGAAACAGCTACAAAAATGTCAGCAAGTACATTCCCTTCCTGCTCTTCTCAAGTCTATCAAACGTTGTTTCAAGAGAAAAGAAAGACGAGTACTGGATCTGACTTTTCTCTTTGGATCAGCCCATCTAAGTTTTGTTCCATTCAACGCAGAGGTGGCCGGGAAGGCATAGCTACAGCTGGCAAGTTCATCATGTGCAACGCTCTCTGCTGGTCTGAGGAGACACATGCGAAGAGGATCTAGGCTCCGACATCAGGGAGCACACAGCCTTTCATCTGTTTTATTTTCCCTTGAAGCATAACAGAGGAGACAGCTACACCTCACCCCTAGATTCCTGGCCACTTCTTCCCAGGATGTGAAAGTGGCACTGCCCACCCTGGATCTAGTCGGGGAAATGCAATGGCTTAGGCCTGGGTCAAGAACTCTGACCTTGAAGTCCTGGCTGGAGTCGGCATCACCCAAGTCCAGTGAATTCCCCAGAGGGAAACTGAGAAGGAGGGTAAATGGATATTGGTGTAGCCAAAAAAAAAAAAAAAAAAAAATCAATAAAACAAAAATAAATATCCATTATATAGTATAGCTACCCAGTGCCATAGCCATATCATGAAATAGCCTACTACCATCGAAGATGTTTGGAAGAATATTAAAGACATGGGAAAACATTCACAATACAGTGTTAAGTGGATAAAAGCAAGAAAGTAGCTGTTATAAATGTTATAGTCTCTACTTTTCAAATTAAAAGAATATTTTTATCACTTTTATGATAGCTAGAAATGCTTATGATATTAGTAGTCGTAATCTCTAGGTAGTAGGCTTATAGGGAATATCTTTTCTTTTTCTGCTTATTTATATTTGCTCAATTTCTTGATTTTTCTGAGACAAATTGATAAACCATTTAGAAACCAAAAAATGAAGTGAGCAATTAAGAGCAGATTATAGCAATTTGTCAAGGCAGAGAGTAATCAAAGGAAAACTAGGCAGCTCTCTCTAAATAGGTGAACCCAGGAGAGACCAGCACACCCAAGATGGCATGAAGAAAGGTACATGACCTTTCCACCTTATACACAGATCTTTCTATGTTTTGAGGACAGAACTGTTTTTATTCTCAAAGACCACCTCACACCTTTTGTCCTCCAGTCCTAACACCTCTTCCCAAACTTCCAGCATGTCACCTCATTCCCCAAAGTTAAGAGTCTACCCAGCGGTGGGCAAGCTAATCTATACCCCAAACACACCCTCCCCCTTCCTGCTGTCCAAAATGAAGTTTGCCACCTTTGCTCTGGACCCCATCTCCTTTCTTGGGATTTCTCTCCATCCATTTACCTTCTTTCCTACATCTGAGACATCTCTCTTCCTCTTGCCTATTCCTTCTCTTTCATTATGCTCAGGTTTCTCCCATGTTGCAACTCAAACGAGCAGAACCTTTCCTTGATCCCCTGCCCCTGCCCCCAGCTACCACTCTATCTTTCTCTCTCCTTTCACAGTGAAACTTCTAAGAGTTATTTGTATTCACTCTCTCTAGCTTGCTATCTTTTCTCTGCTTCACCCTTTGACATTCATGTTTCTACTCCTGTCTCTTCACTAGAGCTGTGCCTGCCATGGATCTTTCTGCTGTCAAATGCAGTGACTCTTCTTGGTTCTCAGGTTACTTGAGAATATTTGGTTTAGCTTGTGGTCACTACGAGAGATTGGTGTGGGTGTTGAAGCTATCCATAATTTGGTGTGGATGTTGAAACTAATGATATCACATATAGACTAAGAGACTCTGAAAAGGGTTATTACTCACATAATGAGGTCTTCTGGAAAGTGAATGGGAGGATCTCAGGTTGACCTTCAAACTACTGG